TTCATGCAATGGAAAGGAACTGTCAATCAGATCATTGGACGTTCACCAATTAAACGCGGAGCATTGAAACATTTTAAATTTAAACGTCCTGATATGCATTCATGCACTTCTACTTAAACTTATTAATTAAATATATTTATTACTGATTTTGTAGTTTTGACTATTTTATATTATTTTTTAATTTTAGCCAAAACTAGTCAGGCAGGCTAAGCCAAAACTAGAAAGCTCAAACCAAGATCACTTGAGTGATGATGTTCTGAAATGAGTGATAGATCTAATTATAGATAGATCTATAATGGTGCATTGGGTGTGGTCACATGCTAAACTTCTATATAACAAGTTATCCTGACTAAATATATGTTATATTTGAAGATGATGATTCTTTCTTTTTTGTTTGCACTTTTGTGCCTGCAATTAAGTCATGGTAAGCACTTATACAGTCATTTATACTAAGTCTAGTCTGATAATTTGTGAATGATATGTCTTCCTCTTCCCTCTTCTTTTTACTTCTCCCTTTTTATAAAAATTACCTCTGTTTGTGCTTGTATGTTTGTTCCTGACATTCTTTCCTTCCTTTCTCCTGTTTGTCTCTCTGTAATCATGTGCTCTAAAATGTAAATAATGATAATAATAAATATTAAATTTATTTTTGTAGGAGAGACATATAATAATTCTGCTACTAGCTTTTACTTTGGATTAATGGGATATATTAACCATTATTTTACAATCTCAACTTTGTCTCCAGTTGATGTCACGTATCACGTCACTGTTGAATCATTAAAGTATTCTTTTACTGGAACAGTGACAAGGAATAGACCAAATTCACTTTACTTTCCCATGCGTTTCCGAACAATGTCCAGTTCTTTTGCAGATCAATTTAAGGGGATTCATGTGACAAGTGATCAACTGATAAGTGTGACATTTTATAATTCATGGTTGGAACATCTCATTTTACCATATCATGAGTACCCAGGGGTCAGTCAGTATGAATATTATGCTGTTTCTACTAGTAGTATCAGTAACACATATCTTAGTCAAGTTCTTCTTGTTGGTTGTATTAATAATACTGTCATTAGTATTATGCCAACAGTTGATCTCTTCATTCCTATTGATGTACAGAAGAGTGGGAGTGATGATATATTAATAACTAAAGATAACTCTCATACTATTACACTACATGAGGGACAGACTCTATTGCTGGGTAAAGGGAATGGAAGTGATATATCAGGAACACACTTTATTTCTAATAAACCACTGACTGTTATTACTGGTCATGAGTGTGGTAGCACTATTATTTCACTAGAACTCTTTGCTTGTCTTCCTCTACAATTACAAGTGCCTCCAACATTAACTTGGGGTAAAAGATACATTCTGACAAATTTTATCAATCCTTATGACCGCACATTATACCGTATAGGGCATAATGTTCGCGGGACTCAAATTTCGCTGATTTCGTGGATAAAGAAAATTCGCGAAAATAAAATCCGCGAATATCAATTTAATACGGTATCCGCATGGCACACGTGGTAGAATTCGCGAAATTAAAATCCACAAATTGGAATTTTAGTAGATTTCGCGAAATTTGCCTCCTGCGAACATTATGCCCTATACGGTATTCTTCTTCTATTGTGAAGACAGTCACTTCAAAAGCCAACACTAGTGTAACAATATACTGTAATGGAACCACTAACACTACAAGATACCCTACTAATGGTGCAATTGGTACATATCGGTATTACATAACTGAATATTGTTACATAGAAGCTGATAAAGCAACATTCATTGTTCTATTTCATAACATTAATTCCCGTTATCGTACTGCGGTATTAATACCACCAATGGAAAAATATCTTCAAGAAGTTAACTTTGAAATAATTGGCACCTTTTATCATTACTCAAAGCTTGTTATTACAGCATCAGTTGAAGGATTCTCTCCAACAGCTATTCTACATAATGGACTAGCCACAGTAAACTGGACACAAATATATAGTTCTACAGGGAATATTGTAGCATATGGAACTACATTTGAAATTAATCCATTTTATAGCAATCATTCTATAATTCACACTGGTAGAAATGGTAAATTATCAGTTCAAGTTCAAGGATATTTTTTTCATCATGCAATTTATGGTTGGCCAGCATCAGTGTTGTATTAAAACGGATTGTATTAAAACGGAAAAAAAACATATATAATGTGTTTGTTTTTAGCTCCTACTAGTAATGGTAATGGAGGACTAAGCACTGGAGAAATAGCTGCAATCGTGTTTGTGCCATTCCTGATACTAATCATTGTGATCATTGCAATAATAATTTTGATGCTGTACTTGACTTTCACATATGATGGGTAACTGTATTACTAAATGCCTTACAATCTTTCATTCCCTTTTACAGCAATGCTAGAGAGATAGAAGAAGTCCATTACCAATCGAAGCGATTCCGTGGCGGTATTAAGCTAAAAGATGATGATCCTACAAGTCATGTACGGTCAAGACGTGGCAGCAGCAATTATCTTACTGAGGGAAGAATACCAAGGTTCATTATGTCGACTTAGAGCCTGCATTGACTTCATATATCTCATTGAAATTTGTAATTTATATAGGTCTGCATTAGGTGCAGGTACAGCACATCCATGGCAAGAAGATGAAGAAGCAAACAGTGAGATTGGAGAGAATGAACTATTTATTGTTGAGTCTGGAGGAGCTAGTGGTAGAGGAGAGACTGATGAAGGGAATGAGGTCAGACAAAGAGTTGTTGGTGCGTATAATCCTATGGCTATAAGAGCTGGAGAAGAGAAAGAAGAAGGTTGGTCTATTTCAACTTTTGGAGATTTTCATTAAATCGAATCGATACTATTATTATAGGTGATAATAAAGCTGGAGGTGCTGCTGTGATGATGACAGATGAAGAAATAGATAAAGAATTTAACTTAGGAGAAGATGATGACGATATCAACCCATATGATGATTAAACTAAGATTCTACATCTTATTCTACATTAATTTTCAAATGATTCTACATTAATTTTCAAATGATTTTGTTTATGGTTTACAAAAATAATGCATTAAGCCATGTGTAAGCACATCAAAGACAGCACATTAGACAAGGGGCGGGGGAAAGCCCACAGAAATGACAGAAAATACTTAGAAAGTTAGCAGTCTATTTCTTTGTCTCGGCTGTCTTGATCGAGGTCTTCATCTAGTCTTAATCCATGGCAAGTCCAAGTTCACACTCAGAAAGTGAGTATTAGGCCTATATAGCCTAGTGGCCGAGTCACTTAATTGTGAATTTATAGGCACACTAGAGACTGAAATTACTGGATTCATTATCAGTGGCAGAAAGCCAGTTAAGCATAGAATGTGGTGAAAAACTTTTTTGTGGCCTGTCACTTGATGTAGTACTCTGCCTTCCCACACTGGCATTACAGTTAGGATTGACAGAAGCTGAATTTCATCTGATTGAGATGGATCATAAAAATGATTACAGGAGACGAGTAATAGAGGTGTTTTGGAAGTGGAAAAATAAGAATTTAAAGAATGAGGCCACTTATCTAAGTCTGATCAAGGCTTTTGTTGAGGAAATGAACATAAAGGCTGCTGAATATGTCATACATTTTTATAAAAGTCATCACCTACAGTCTTTAATGAAATGTACGTAAATCAGTTATCTCGGTGTTCAATTTAAGATCAGTTGAACTTTTTCTCTAGGTCACTCATCATGGACCAACAGTCAGTCCAAAAGTACGCAAAAGTCATTATCATCGGAGAAAGTGACTCAAAGACATAGTTATCAAGGTATGTACTCACATACTTCACTGCTTGTAGTTTAATTTTTATTGCTGATACTTCCTTTTTGTCAGTTGTGATTGGATGCCATCCAATTAAATCTGTTACCAAAAAGGGCATGACTATGCTTTGACAGATGTATACACCCTTGGGAATAAAATTACATTGAGTTGACATATTTTATTCACAGCATGTACTTAACATTCTACTGTGCTTAGTTGTAATTGACCAATAAACTTACCTATGACTAGGTTTCCCTAGAAGGTAATAAGTAAAATTACTGGGTGGTTAATAAGTGGCCTGGGAAAAGGGAATTTGATTATTCTCCTATTTTAGAGGCCAGTATTTGATGCACCATAATACCTCTACATACATGTAGCTTGTAGCATCTGGTCTACCTTGTATCTTTAGTCTAATAAGTCTATTGGTCTAAAAATAAAATTTAGCAAAGTTGACAGTTTGATCAATACATTCAGCATCTTCGAATACCTTGTACTCCTGAGTAACATGGAGGAGCAGTTGGACTTTTTCATTAGTCCACTGATGCATATTTCCACAATAACAGTTAATATATTAACTGATTAGGAATAATCATAGTTAATGAGATTTTTAACAAACAGTATAATAATGAAACAAACACAAGTGTAAACAAAGCCTTATTTAGATTTGATGTGTGCTTTCTTGTGTCTACTCTATATATAACCATAAATGTTTTGTTTCAAGTAAAT